TAAACCTCATAAACCTTATATAAGAAATGGTGAATCTGAGACCAGTATAACTGAACAGATTAACAGAAAACAGCGTAAAGTTTTGGTCTTCTATGTTAATATTCTATGTTATAATTTAGTTCTTTAGGCAGATTTCTTATTTTTCTTTTTTTGCAATACTGGGAATCAAACTCTGTGGCGCTTTACTGCTGAGCTACGTCCCTAGCCTTTTTAATTTTTTATTTTGAGACAGAGTCTGGCTAAATTGTCCAGGCTGTCCTTAACCTTGTGATCCTCTTATGTCAGCTTCCCAAGTAAATGGAATTACAGGTGTGCATCACCATGTCTGTCAGATTGCTTTTACTCAGTATTTCAAACTTTATAGGTCTTCGAGCTCAAAAACAATCTTGTTATTTTTGTTACATTTTAATGGAAGTTTTCATCTTCCTCTTTTGAAAATTAAATGTATGAGTTGAATATTAATGTCTAACAAACAGTTGAATTTTAAGCAGAACCTTAAATATTTAGATAGAGCAAGCATTTCATAATAACAAGCATCTTTTAAAATTAAAGKCAAGGAGAAGTTTTGCATTGAGGATTAACTTACTGATATTCTGGCATGTTTTATTAACATTTTTATTGTACCTTAAATTGGGAGAGCAGAGATTTTTTTTCCTTCATGTGTGCAGGAAGGATATTTTAATATAAACTTAGAATTATTTTGGTTCTCTTGGCTGCTGTCTTCTTGTGCCTAGATTGGCTTAATAAATACCAATCTAGTTTTATTGATTTTACTAAAGAACAAAGGAATAGCTAGTTTTTGGTATGCCAAAGTGAAGCTGGCATTTTTGTGTGTTTTAGTGTGTGTGACACTGGAGATTGAACCCACTGACCCCGGGAGAGACATCACTGTTTAGCTGCATTGCTTGGAGTGGAATTTGGATCCTCCTTCCTTGGGCTCTTGAGTAGCTGGGATTACAGGCCCGCCACTGTGCTAGGCAGAGAGGCTAGGATCTTTAAACTTTCCTAGAATGTCTTTAAGTTTTTAGGGTCAGAGGACCTAAATGATTTCTTCTAAAGGCATGTCTAATTAGTAGTATTATAACAAAATGCTGTGTAGATTATGCTTAATAAAAAGTATTGTGTGATTAAGATGTACAAATTATGGACATGAAGTAAAAGTTGTGACTGCTGAAAGTTTCCTGGAGAAAACAAAAGTAATGTTTTTTTTTTTTTTTTTTTTTTTAATATTTCCTTTTTAGTTAATAGTTGGATATAATATCTTCAATTAAATTTTTATGTGGGGCTGAGGATTGAACCCAGGACCTGGTCCGAGCTGGGTGAGCACTCTACTGCTGAACCACAACCCCAGCCCSAGTAATTTTTTTTAATTCTAAACAAATATTGTTGTGACAYACCATGTGGAGTTCATATAGTGTATTCTGCATTAATAGACCAGATATGKTCATGCGTGCCTATAATCCCAGTGACTTGGGAGGCTGAGGCAGGAGGATTCCAAGTTCAAAGCCAGCCTCAGCAATTTATCGAGGCCATAAGATACTTAGCAAGATGCTGTCTCAAATAAAAAAAGGTGTTTGTTTTTTTTTTTTTTTAAAGACTTTTTAGTTAAGGAATTTACCAGTCTGATTTTTTCATATTAGTTCACTGATGAATGTTTTATTTGACATGATGATTGTATTTTGGGGTATAATCTGATAAATAAGAAAACTTTATGTGCAAATAATGTTTTTTTGTCTTCTTTATAATACCCCAAATTTAAAAACAGATGTGTAATGGAAATGGATATAACTATTGTTTTTCTTCTACATTTTGCGTTTTACTTTTTTKTGTGTGTACTGGAGATGCATTTTACATATTTTTGATAAACATTACTTTTATAGTGGCATGAAGTAGTTAACTTGTTTAAAAAGAGAAAAACAATTTTAGCAATCTTAAGTCACCAATAAACTAGAATTTTTATTCAGTCTGTAGGTGATCATATTGTATTCATTTTGAGGGGGAGCTCATGATGCCCTACCGAATCATCAGCAGATAACTATAAAGAAAAGTTCAGTGCTAGGATAATTACTGGGGAGATACCCCTAACAGTTGCTGTAGCTTGCCAATTGTAACAAAACATTCTTTTGTTCATTGGCAGACAAATGAGTTTTTCTAGTAGCAACCAGTATTTAATTGTACTCAATTATTTTCAGCTGGCTTATTTTTTGGTGCAACATACCTGGAGCTATAGATATGGCAGTATAAACCAAGCAGATTTTGTACTGTCTGAAAACGTTTTAAGAAGGATTTGATTTCTGTCTTATCACTGAGAATTTTTAGACTATATTTATTGATTTATGGTAATTTTTGCTAAATTTGAGGAATATACACATCTAGCTTTTGTATAAATAATCGGTCCACATTCTAACAGGTGATTTATACTACTTTTATGTATTGATTTTCTGTTTAAAAATAACTTTTTCCCCAAACAGACAAATAACCAAAGCTTAAAAGTATGATATAGGAAAATACTTTTCATAAGTAGGAGATAGCTCARAAACCTGATTCTTTGTAGAATTTTAATGAACAGAATCTACTTTTTAAAACTGAGACACCTTTTTATCCTAACAAAGCACATGCTTTTCTTATAGCTCAGACAATTATAACATGGAATTAGTAAATTATGTTTTAAAATGTTTGTACAATCCTGCTTGATTTTTCTCACAGAATTTTTATTTTTTRTAGGTGTTCAGCAGAAATATTTGGTGGTTACTTGCAACTATGAAGCCAGGAAACTTGGAGTTACAAAACTTATGAATGTCAGAGATGCAAAAGAAAAATGTCCACAACTTGTATTGGTTAATGGAGAAGACTTGACCCGTTATAGGGAGATGTCTTATAAGGTTACAGGTAYAAAGTGTAGGCAATCTATATTTAGTATTAATTTTTATGTAGGATGCCTATTCACTTAAATAATTTTATAAATCTTAATAAAGTGCCATAAACCAGATTCCTTTTTCCTAATAGCTTTTTATTATAGGTCTTTTCCACTTTAAAAATTATATAAAAGAGTGGCTTTCTATATTATGAATAATGTTGGTAAGTAATTTGAATTCTGTTGTGACTAGTGTTTATATAAATAACAGGAAATACAAAGTTTATAAGTGATAAAATCAGAAGATATACTGTAAAGACATACTGTAAATTTTAAATTTTAAGCATACATGAATTATGAAGAAATACATTGTTTTCTAATGTACTGATGATAATTCAAAGAAGTGTTTGTAATTTTTGGTTAGCATAATTAAAAACTGATTTCTTGGGCTGGGGATGTGGCTCAAGTGGTAGCGCGCTCGCCTGGAATGCGTGCGGCCCGGGTTCGATCCTCAGCACCACATACAAACAAAGATGTTGTGTCCGCCGAAAACTGAAATAAGTAAATAAATTTAAAAAAATAAATAAATAAATAAAAAATAAAAACTGATTTCTTAAGAAATATTAGCAAAAATAATGGCTATATTAGTCTTTTTGTGTTCACACACACACACATACACACACATACACATACACTAAATATTACACTGTAGCTACTGAACTCCCTTATGCTGAGGCTTGAGTGTGAACCTTAGTGTTCTAGTAAATTAGAGGAAAATAAAAGGAAAATGCTTGTACATTGTTATATTACAAATACATATTTTTWAAAAATGTGTAAGAATCAACTTTGTATTTTTATTATTATCATCATCATCATTAACCCAGGACACTCTACCACTGAGCTATATCCCCATCCCTTTTAAAATTTTAGACGGGATCTTGTTAAATTGCTGAGACTGGTGATCCTCCTGCCTCAGCCTTCTGAGTTGGTGGGATTATAGATATGCCCCACTGTGACTAGCTTATACTGTCTTTTCAATTTTTTTTGCTAGTTTTTCTTTTGTTAATTGTAGCAGTTTTTATATGTAAAGGATTAATATCTATAATATATAGAGAGCTCCTACAACTTAAGAAAAAGAAACAATAAAAGTGAACAAAGAATGTGAATAAGCAGTTGACAAAGAAGAGCAAGTTCAGTATCTAACAATTATATGGGAAAAAAGCTCAAGTTTATTACTGGCTAAGGAAACTTGAATTAGTAAGACATTATTTTATGTTGGTGATACTTGTCAAAAATGTGACAAAAAGTAGAAATATAAAGTATTGTAGCCTTTTTAAAAAAGCAATCAAGAAACATTTATTAAAGATAAAGGGTGGAGATGTAGCCCAATGRTAGTTTGCCTAGCATGTGCAAGGCCCTGCATTTAATCCTTAACACACACACGTGGGAAACTAAAGATTAATATTCTTCAAACCAGTGATATCATTGCTGAATATTCATCAAATAGAAATAAAATTATAAGTACATAAATACATGTGTAGAAAAAGATTTATTTTAGCCTGGTTCATAATTGATAGAAAAGAGATTAACTTCAGGAATGGGATAGTTAAATGATTTGTCCCTGTGACCCAGTGATAGAACAGTGTGTTAAAAAATATTTAGTGGTTGACCAGCTTTGTGCRTTACTCTGTATTTGACTTATTTTTCTGCTTAAAACTTTGATTCTTTTTTTCTACATTCTTTTGATAAAAGGTTTTATTTCCTACATGACTTTTGGATGTCAGGTAGATACTTTTGAAAAAAAAATTACAGAAATTGATGAACGGAGTACAAAASAATCTTATATAATCAGACACACTGTCAGTCTCTCCTCAAAGGAGATAATAGCTTTCTCTGTGTAGGCTAGAGTTATTTTTGGTGTTCACAAGTTACATTGGTTTTCATTTTTCTGTGCTGGGGTTTGAACCCAGGGCCTTGTAATGGTAGGTAAGGGCTTTACCACTGAGCTATACCCAAGCCCCACGTTATTACCTTTATTGTTTTCCCTTTAATATCTATGTTAGTATTAGTAAAATAAAATAACTTTTAGTATTTTTGTAAAAAAGTGATCAGTGAGGAATTATTTAGTCCTTTTATTCTGAGTCTTCAGATTACGGCACTTTAAGAATATATGCGTTTTTGTATGCTAAGAGCAATACAGTTGGCCCTCTATGGGTTCTGCATTTGTAGATTGAACCTGTGGATTTGAAAAAAAAAAAAAGGCTTCAGTACTGAAATCATAACAGACTTTTTTTTATCATGTCATTATTCCCTAAACAATACAGCAAAAGACTATTTACATTATATAAGATACTGTAAGTATAGATGATTTGAAACATACAGAAGAATATGTGTAGGATATATGCAAATATCATGCCATTTTATATATGGGTCTTGAGCATCTTCAGATTTTGGTATCCTTGGGAGTGGTTCTGGAACCAGTCCTCTGAATATTGAAGAACTACTGTTTTCTGACATCCAACAAGTCTCAATAGAAGGTGATTCAGGGGGAAGAAAATAGTTCTTCTAAATGATTGTAAAGTTATTATTACTTAATTCTTGCATATGAGAATTGATAGTCCTTTTGAATTTATTCTATATGTTAGTTAAATTCAATTTAGTAAAATTTGACTTATGGACTAGGTAGTTTGCAGATGCTGCACATGTGAATAGCTGCAAGTTGTGGTCCATATCTGCCATTTTACTCTTAAGGTGTATGCTTGGGAATGGCCAATCAAAATACTGTTATATATTGTTAAGTGACTTTTCTGTTTGACTCAGTAATAAGTCAAAATAAAGTTTTTTTTGTTTTGTTTTGTTTGGTACCAGGGATTGAACTCAGGGGCACTCAACTATTTAACCACATCCCCAGCCCTATTTTGTATTTTATTTAAGAGACACGGTCTCACGGAGTTGCTTAGCATCTATCTTTTTGCTGAGACTAGCTTTGAACTCTCAATCCTCCTGCCTCAGYCTCCCAAGCTGCTGGGATTTCAGGCATGTGCCACCATGGCTGTCTAATAAGTGGAAGTTTTAAATTTTGTTTTGCCTAAACTGTTGTGGAGAATATAGATAGGTAAAATATATTATTACTTGTTTTTATTTTCCTAAGCAGTCTATAATTTATTCTTTCACATAGTGCTTCAAGATTATAATTAACTATAATCACTGRCATTTAATGTACTACAGATATAGAAAGTTTACATATAGAAGATTGAGCTAAAAATGTATTTCTATGAGGAACTGCTCTGAGAATGTCATTTTTGGACTTGTTTTGTTGGGAAATATTGCCTCTACTCAAAATATGGTACAGAAAAACAAAGATAACAGTTAACTGAGACTTTTCATTAAAGATATTATGGAATTKCGAATATATATAAAACCTTTAATTATGTATTTGGTATATTTTTAAGCATTAAATCTTTTCTAGTTGTAACTTTAATTACACCTCTGCACCAATATTATTTTGATTTAGAATTGTTGGAAGAATTTAGTCCAGTTGTTGAGAGACTTGGATTTGATGAAAATTTTGTGGATCTAACAGAAATAGTTGAAAAGAAACTCCAGCAACTTCAAAGTGATGAACTTTCTGCATTGACTGTGTCAGGTCATGTATATAATAATCAGCGTGAGTGTTATTCCTTCCACTTACTAACTAAAAGTATATACATTTTTTTAATCTTTATTATTTATTTATTTATTTGGTGCTAAAAATTAAACCCAGTGTCTCACATATACCAGGCAAGTGCACTACCACTGAGCCCCAGCCCCAGCCTAAGTATATATATATTTTTAATGTTCATTGAGTTTATTGTGATATTCTGTTAGATTTATGACTTATTTGGAGGTATAGTTATATTTAGTCAGTAATCTAAGGTATCTAAAATTAGATATTGCTATTCCATATCAAATATGTAGAAAATAAGATTTTGATGACATGTAGCTCTGTGCAGTTTTCATCTCTTTGACATAGTATATCTGTTCACATTTTTAAGAGTCCCTCTTCAAGTCACCCTTAAATTATAGCAGTCAACTTGTTATTGTTTTTTAGAATAATTTTTGATTCTCCTGAAACTATTTCTAAGCAAAATTTTGAGGTAGGCTGAACTTCCCTTCTGTTCCTCTGGGGCTATAAGACTCTCATGGTGCTCTTCTGACTTTCCAAGCTACTGCCCATGGAATCTTTTCCAGGCCTACCTGTCACTGGCCTGTCTGCTGTTACAGGGCAAGGGTCTACTGTGGAGCTAAGGCAGCCGTGGAGGTCTTTTCTCACTGGTTCTTAAAATCATGCCAGAAGGATTTCAGACATGTCATTCAGAGTAGCAGGTATGTGTTTATTAAAGGGGTAGGAAAACAGAAAAGGAAACACTGTCCAGAAAGAGAGTTGGTTCCCTTAGAGAGGAGAAGATGGTATGTCCCTCATACCCTCTAGTTTTATTGGAGTGTGGGGTGGGGGGGTGTCCAAGGTCTAAAGTGTCTTTAGAGTCCTGTTCAAGTCTTCCTTTTGACTTTTGACTTTTGACTGACAGCAGAGGATGCCATCAGACTTTCAAGTCCCCACAGAGCATGATGATTCTAGGTCTTTGGCTCATGCTGACCAGTTCTAAATGGAACCTATTCTAACAAATTTTCTGGTTAGGTAGAATTATCTTTATCTCCTTGATTTCTGGGATCTGGTCTGTGTGTGGTTCACAATCTGCCCCCCTGCCCCTTCAGAATAAATTGTGTTCAGCATTTAAGGCTGCATGTCTCTTGCAGACAACCAGTTGTTTGCTGATGGATGTAATRTGGCCTATTTACTTAAAACAGGCAGCGCTGCAGGTAAATTGCTTTTTTAAGGGAAGCTTATGGGGGTCAGCATAGTGGGCCCAGTATATRGAATTTTTTCTTAACCTCATGTTCCCACCTCTCACATCTGTTTGTCCCCCATCATGTCTGTTCCCCATCATCTGCCACGTGCTTGTATCTTCTTCAAGCTCCTATTTAATTAGCTCTAATAATCATTACCAACTGTCTCCTTCCTTCACATAGTAAGTCCTGAATCACTGGTGGTATTTCCATTTGCATTTGAAAATAGCTTTAATAGGTGCTGGTGAATATTTAATTAGGCTTTCATACATTTTGTGACTCTGCTGGTAACTTTTATATTATACCAAATAGAAGACAAGCTGCCTTTCTTTTGTGCAAGAGTTGCCTGATCCTTTTGGTTATAGTTCTTAACTTGTGTTTCTCGAACCCCACCTGTTGTGAGGCCTGGTCATCTCTCTCTAGTATAGTTCTCCACAGAAGAAAAGGGGTAGAGGTGTTTCTAGAAGCTTGTTGTGTGTCTTTTGTACCTATGCTGTTTTTGTTGTGTTTTGATTTGTTTTTAATAAGGGCTAAGTAGCAAGATGATTCCAGACATACTTCTATATAATTTTTGAAGCAAATTCAGACTTTATTAGTTAGAACATATCACGGACAGAGAGCTAGACTTTATATCTTAGATAGGAAATGTCTAATTATTTATTATTTATTTATCTATTTATTTATTTATTTTTAATATTATTTTAGTTGTAGATGGGCACAATACCTTTATTTTATTTGTTTATTTATTTTTATGTGGTGCCGGGGATTGAACTCAGKGCCTCACGCGTGCTAGGCAAGCGCTCTGCCACTGMGCCACAACCCCAGCCCCCGTCTAATTATTTATTAGTTCTTCCTCTTCAACATAAGCTTTTATTAAAAAGTTTTCAAACTTATAGAAAAGTTGATAGAATAATATAATAAACACCTTTTAAGTACATTCTTATASATAAACCAGTTTTCATTTGCCACATTTTTTTTTTAAATTTTGCTCTCTTTGTGGAAAAGTTGATAGATTGATGAGTCATTTGGAAATAAATTGCAAATACCATGACACTTCATCCCTGAATCCTTCTATGAGTCCTGGAGATAAGAATGGTCCAATATAMATCTTTTACACTTAAGAAAGTTTGTTTCTATGTAATTTCCCTATGTTTTTCATAAAGGACCTCTTAAACTATGTATAGGCCAGAAATTATTTTTGGCATCACATATAGCTAATATGTAAAGTGTGGATTTAGGTCTTTAAAGCTGTAATGGTAGCATTCTTATGACAACTTTTATGCATATTTATAGGTGAGTGTGGATATAAGTTTTATTAATATCCCTAGAAAACTTTTAAGATATCAGTTTTCATATTATAATCTGTTAAATCATTAAGCACTCCCAGTATACTCATGTCACAGACCCTTGGAATTCACTTGTATTATTTGTTTACTTTACAATGTTCCTATGAAGAACTAAAGAAATAAGTCAAATGGATGGCAGGGTGGTAGTAGTAGTGGTAGGAGGGTTTGGATATAAATTAAATCCTGCATCTTTTAAAAATCCTTTTTTAAAAAAGAAAAAAAAATGTTTTTTTGTGACTTTTAACAGTATCATTTTTTTTTTTTTTTTTTTTTTAGCTATAAACCTGCATGACATCATGCACATCAGACTACTAGTTGGATCTCAGATTGCAGCAGAAATTCGGGAAGCCATGTATAATCAGTTGGGGCTCACTGGATGCGCTGGAGTGGCTTGTAATAAACTATTGGCAAAATTAGTTTCTGGTGTTTTTAAACCAAATCAACAAACAGTCTTGTTACCTGAAAGTTGTCAAGATCTCATTTATAGTTTGAACCATATAAAGAAAATGCCTGGTAAGACAAATATAATTGAAGAATATGTATTATGTTTTATTGTATTTCTTTAATCATAAAAAATTATAGATGTAAATAACAATTTCTAGAGGTATATCTTTAGCTGTTGGAAAAAAACTATAGTGTTTTCTGGAGCAAATCTGTATGAGGAAATACACAAAAGTACTTTTATGTTTCTTATCATGAAAGTGATAACTGGAAACATACGGTCCTTGATTTACAGTCCCAGGTTCATATTCTTGCACTGTACATTGCATYTAGAAGGGAGCTTAACTTTTATTAATTCTCTTTAGTTTTTATATATAAAATATTATGGCTACAATGGAACTTCCAAAGCTTCTAAACCAAATACCTCATTCTAAAGATCAGGGAATGGATTTCCTTGAGAAATTCACTGATCTATTCATATTCAGTTCATAGGGCAAATTTGTATCTTTGAAAATCAAATAACCTGCATTTTTATAGACCATCAATAATATGCTGAACTTTTTTCTTTTGCTTTGTTGGGGAATAGGATGTAATAAAAGACATCTGTGGAAGTGAATTTCTAAGACAATRGAAACTTAACTGTTTAGATGTTATAGCTTCCCATTTTTAACTTATGCCTGTATGATTCCAAAATAAATTGTATACTGCCTTGCCTTCCTTAGCATAGTATAATTATAATTTGAGATTTTTGGATCTGTGTTCTGAAGAACAATGTCAGATCATAATAAAYTGACTACATACTGAAGGCAGGACATTCTTTCTTACTTTACCTTTTGAATTATTGCATCTGTTTTTACAGGCTTTCTACTTTGTCCCTCATTGCCAATTGCCAAGCCTCCTTTTTTTTTTCTGTTTAAAAATACCTGTCACTACATTTTAATAATTCCCCTTACATGCCTGTCTTCACTGATTTATTGCTTTAACTTTGCAAGGAAACCAGATAACTGTAGAATTATTATTTTTTAAATGACAGAAAGAGGGGCTGGGGTTGTGGCTCAGTGGTAGAGTGCTCGCCTAGCATGCACAAGGTACTGGGTTCAATCCTCAGCACTACATAAATGTAAAATAAAGATATTGTGTCCACCACAAACTTAAGAATAAATATATTTAAAAAAATGAAAGAACGAGCTTTAAATGACCTATTTCTCTGATGAAGAAAATATAAGTTTTAGTGCAAAAACTTGTGGTAGGGGTTTTGTTAGTTTTTATATTTTTTCACACTTAGTTGTGTTCTGGGTGATAAATATTGCTAGATATGTGATTTGTGGATGAGTGTAATATTGTGTACAGAAATCAGGTTAGCCAATAAGCATATATTAATCAATTTTGGTTCTTCTTTTTACAGTAATAATAAACATGATTCCTGAGTTATTCCACAGTATTATAGAACAGGTAGTAAAATTTTCATTTTATCAAAAGAGTGTATTGACTGTAAATAGTACATGTTATGAGTGCTTCAAGGAGCTACATATTAGTCAGGGACCCTGAACGAAAGAATAATAATCTACTTTRCAATTGAGTTTGATCTTAGCAAAGTATTAATTATGGAACTTAAGATGTGGTTGATGTAATTTTAAGATTTTAATTATCTTTATTTTAAGGAAGAAAGCTATTGTAGCACCATATGCATTTCTTTTTGTTTAGGTATTGGCTATAAAACTGCCAAACGCCTTGAAGCACTGGGAATCCATAGTGTGCAAGATCTCCAAACCTTTTCATCTAAAATATTAGAAAAGGAATTAGGAATTTCAGTTGCTCAGCGTATTCAGAAGCTCAGTTTTGGAGAGGATAACTCTCCTGTGACACCTTCAGGACCACCTCAGGTATGTGGCAATGATATTTATATTTAATGTTCTAGTTATATGTAGTGTACTATTTATGTTTAGTGTACTAGTTGTCACATTATCTGGATAAAAATTTCCAGTTTTGCATATTCAGAATATTGTAGTTTGCTTTTCATGTTCCCTTTCCTAAGATAAGSCTGCTGCTTTATTATATTAGATTAATAAATATTCTTAAGTTGAAACTTGAACATTAATGTATTTATTATTTGTTCATTTTTTGTGTTAGTGAGGAGTGAACCAAAGCCATGCTCATGSTACGAAAGCTCTCTGACAGAGAGCTACACCTCCAGCTCCCTTTTTTAAACTTTTCTTTTGAGACAGGTCTTGCTAAGTTACTCAGCTTTTTGTTGCTGCAGCAGAATGATGGACRAGGACTGCTTAGAATAGGAAAAGTTCACTTTGGGCTCACAATTTCAGAGGTCTCAGTCCGTGGTTGGCCTTTTGCTCTGGGCCTGTGGTGAGGCAAAACATGTGGTGGAAGGGTGTGGCCGAGGAGAGCTGCTCAACTCATGGCAGCTGGGAAGGAGAGGGGGAAGAACCAGGGAAAAGACATAGTCCCCAAGGGCATAGCCCCAATGATGTCTTCCTTCAGCAAGATCCACCTGCCTATAATTACCACCCAGTATTCCATTCAAATCATTAATCCACCAAATGGATTTATCCCCTTTTGGGGTTATAGCTCTCATAATTTAATCTTTTCATCTCTAAACATTTTTGCATTGACTAGCACATGAACTTTKGGGGGAACATTCCAGATCCAAACCACTATGCTGAGTTGCTCAGGCTGGCATCAATTTGTGATCCTCGTGCCTCAGCCTCCTTAGTAATTGGAATTACAGCAGGCACCACCACACCCTGAGAGCATTAATACTTGATAATCTCAATTTAGCTACTTTGATTGAATACAGCTTATTGTTAATGGGTCWTAAGGCAAAATATTTTAATTCTTTAAAAATCTTATTTTCAGAATAGTCCAGTGATTTAATAAGTGGAAAAAGATGTCATCGCCCTGTTAAAATTGATTGGCCTTTTCTGCCTGTGTAAAGAGTACTTTACTAAGTGCTTTATGTTTATTAGTCCATTTAMTCTTCATAACAAACCCTGGAGGTGGGCAGTACTATTGTTTATGTTTTCCTCCCTCCCTTCGTTCCTTCCTTTCCTTCTCCTTTTTTGTTAAGATGAGGATGCTGTATTTTAGATAGGCTAAATAATTTATTCAAGTGTAACTCAGATTCTAGTCCTAGGGCATTAAGAGCCTCATATTAGTCATAAAGTGAAACTTGGAATTGGTACTAGAACTTTGTCGTTTTCTTGACTTTCAGTATATTTTCTAGTGGAGTACAAATTACTTGCAAATAAGTTGAGTTAATGTAAAAGTGAAYTAAATGATTCAAATTAAGCACAAGAGGTAAAGTTAGTAAAGAATGTATTAAATATATATTTGACATATTCATTGATAATTGGGTATATTTATTTGAGTTGACATTAATCCTCACTTACGCTTCTTTGGTAGTCCTTTAGTGAAGAAGATTCATTTAAAAAATGTTCATCAGAAGTCGAAGCTAAAAAAAAGATTGAAGAACTACTTGCTAACCTTTTGAACAGGTATTATTAATCCATTTTGCCAAAACATGCTACATAATTTTTATTCAGTACATATATGCAAAACATTTTTGATGTGTCTTGGATGTTACAGATGAAYGTAATAAATGTATTTCTCTTTACTTCACAGAATAGTATTAATCTCTTTTTCTTTCAGTGTTTAGACCTAATAGATCTTTTCCCACTGATCTCTGCGTATTATAAACTATTGCAAAGACATTATTATGTGCTGTTAACCAAYTTAATACATCTTCTTCCTTTAGTCTCAATACACAGTTACAACACAGTTACAACAGTTATTCTGTGGATTCTGAAGCTATAGGTTATTACTAAAAAGGATTTTGTGGAAATCTCTTAATATTCCTAGACCTATTCTAGTCCTTAGGTGAAAAGGAATAAGTTTTAATTTTTCCTAATGGCAATTTTGAGCCTTTGCTCTTAATTTAGTATTACTTGCTTTTCCACAAAAGGAAAAATGCAGAGAGGAATAATAATTCTTTCACAATTCTAAAACTTCTTACATAGGAATAGATTGTGATCGTTGAACACAGGAAGTTATTAGAACAATAATAATGAACCAAGCAGGAGAAGCCTTGTATTTTCTTTGTCTCAGACTATGTAAAAGAAAATGGAGTTAAAGGAAGGAATACTTATGGGGCCATGTATGAGTGATTGCAAGTGTGTTCAGGGATTCTGATCTGCAAGTTGACATAATATGTTTACTGGGATTATGAATATACAAAGAGCATAACATAAACTGAGCAAGGAAATTTAGTTTTCTGTTGCTCCTTAGTAGGCATCACGTATTTCTTGATGTATTTCTCTTTACTTCACAGAAGATTATWAATCTCTTTTTCTTTCACTTCTTGATTCTCTTTTTGTTATTAGAAATTTCTAAATTGGGTGCCAGAGATCTAACAGTTTAGAGTAGGCATGCTTCTGTAATGATTCTAGGAGGGCTAACTGTCTAACGTAAACAGTTCTGGGATGATTCTAAGTTTCAGAAAACTGATAAATTGATATTTCCTACAACTTTGCTGTCATGTGCAGTGTGCCGCTTATGTGTGCAGCAGAACTATATAGTTCATTGTTTGCTGCATGCAATTGAGGCTGCCTCTGTGACCCAGCTCCAGCAGTATGACTCAGGCTTTGGGGGAAGTGTGCTAGTGAAATTGGGTCATCTGCTCAGCTTCAGCTAGGTGTAAGACTATTCTGAAATGCCTGCCCATTGCAAACAGTTCTACACATAGAGAAACCCCAAAAAGTGTTAAGTTTTACAGGTTCTCTTATTTGAAGCATTAACCCAAATGTGAGACCAGGTGCTCTAAACCTGTAAGATAGCAGATGTTAAACATCTACCCATGTCTCTTCTTGACAGTTCTCTTATTCTACACCAGGGCTCCTTAGTTCAATGAYTGAGTTACAATAGCATTTAAGAGACTGGTAAAAAAATGTGATTATGTGTGTGTATGTGTGAGTAATTACTTATTTTTTTTCCTTTTGGAGTATATGATGATTAATTCTATAGATATGAAAGAAATGTAAAATCATATAATCTTTAATTCATCCTCTAGGCACTAGCTTAAAATAAAATAGTATTTAACCTTCCTCTACTTAGCATATCACACTCTTTGAATTGTGTAATTACTTAAAAGAACAAATTTAACTAAAAGATATTTAAGGAGTAACATCACTTATGACATTTTATTATCCTAGTTATGCATCCATCAAAAAGTTTTCTGAAAAGCAGTAAGAGAAAGAAAAAAGTTATTTGCTACAAAACTAATTTTTCCACTTCAGAATTGTCATTTTGAGCATGTTTAGCAAGGTGTAATATTTGCATTTCATGTTTGTGATTTCATTATCTTTGTGTGTTGCTATGCAGATAAAAAGGAAAATGGTATCCTTGAGTGACATCTGTTTTCAATAATTAAATTTTTTACTTTTTAAGTGAAAATAAAATTTTTGTTTTAACACCCAAACCAAGACCATTTGCACATGATTAATCTTCCTAAATRTAATATGTAACTGATCTTTCAAATTATTGCTTTAAAATTTCATCATATTATGGCGATGTTACTGGCTGTCTTGGATCTATTTGCAGAAAGCCCTTTACTTTAACAGAAGTAATCTTGTTTTTTGTAAACATTTTTTTTTCTCTTTTAATTTTCCAGTTATTTGCTTGTGTCAGATTTCCTGCAGGTGTTAATATTCTGCTTTAGATTTGGATTATAAAACAGCTTGTTATGATTATATAGTATTTCTGTCCTATTTCTGACAGCACTCAATTCTGAGTAATACCTATGAGTCTGTCATTTACAATTTCATAGTTTTAGTGTATAAACTGAGATATTTATTTGGGTATTCTGGAAGATTTATTGTTTATTATTTACCTACTGAATGTATAATTTGATAGTTACTCAGTATTATACCTTTCAATAAATGAAATATTATTCAGTACTTTTTCTAATTCTTTGTTTCCATTTTAGAGTATCCCGAGATGGAAGGAAACCCCAYACAATAAGATTAGTAATCCGTCGGTATTCATCAGAGAAGTACTGTTGTCGAGAGAGTCGTCAGTGCCCTATTCCATCCCATGTAATTCAGAAGTTAGGGGCAGGTATGGAATTATTTTCTAAGAATTTAATTGACATTAACCTTTTTTTTAAAAAATATTTTTTAACTATAGATGGACACAATATTTTTATTTTATTTATTTATTTATTTTTATGTGGTGCTGAGGATTGAACCCAGTGCCTTACGCRTGTGAAGCAAGCGCTCTATCACTGAGCCACAACCCCAGCCCAACATTGGACTTTTAAAAATAAACTTTTTGAATTAGAAATATGCTCCCCAAAAGGAGAGTGGGTCTTTGTGCAGTGTAGCATGTAATTATATGCTTTAATTCTATCAGGAATTCTCACTAGAAAATGTTTTTAAATAGATAGATAAAAATAGTAATTTTTCCCCAAACCTGTACTCYCTGCCACCAGGGAGGCTGAGGCAGAAGGACTGCAATTTTGTTGTCAGTCTGACACTCTCTCAGAATTAAAAGAAAAAGAGTTGGGGATGTACTCAGTGGTAGCCCTGGGTTCAATCATCAGTACCGCCACMAAAAAAAAAAAAAAAAAAAAGAGTCCCTTAAATTCAAATGGAATAAGTRATAATTATATAATGTCAAAATGCCAATTAGRACTTTTATTTTTTAATCTAAGCAATATAAGTYACATTAATATCTTAGTATTAATTAATTAGTTATGGTATAAACTATTTAGGTACTGTCTTAAACATTCTTTTTCAGGAAATTATGATGTGATGACACCAATGGTGGATATACTTATGAAACTTTTTCGAAATATGGTGAATGTGAAAATGCCCTTTCACCTTACCCTTTTAAGTGTGTGCCTCTGCAACCTTAAAGCACTAAATACCACTAAGAAAGGGCCCATGGATTATTATTTAACATCCKCATTGTCAACAACGTCATGTTCTGGCAAGCGCAGTTCTGTGAGTACACTCTTACAGTATACTGTAAGTATACTCTTACTGGACTTGTGTGGATAAATGAAAAATCTAAGTTTGTGTTAGATTCTTTTGGCTGATATTGCTTAGATGATTTAATTGTTAATGGTGCCTATCATATAATGGTTGYTGGCTTTAAATATATTGTGATCTAAGTAGAAATATATTGGATTAGAGAAGAAACTATGGAACTTCTCTGCTTTGGAAGTATGGATGCATTTTCTAATAGCATTCAGGAATGTGATGGATTAGCTCCTAAATATGAAGTACATTTCCAGAAATTAGAAATCCGATCTTTTTGTGGTCAGTTTTTACATATGCTACAAGCTTTGTTTTGCACACTATTATAAGTATTTACATTTTCTTAGTTTTGAAATTAAATTGAATTCTGATARCAACATTAGAATTTGCTATTGATTTGGGGGTAGGGGTTGTGGCTCAGTGGTAGAGCACTTGCCTAGCATGTGCGAGGCCCCTGGTTCARTTCTTAGCACCACATAAAAATGAATGAATAAATAAAATAAAGGCATTGTGTCCATCTACAACTAAAATAAATAAATAAATATTAAAAAAAGAAAGGATTTGCTACTAATTTTACATTTGTTAAAAGTTAACTGTGTGGTAGCAGAGGCAGAAGTCAGTCACATTTTCAAGTGACTAGAACACAGTCCCAAAGAAGCAAACCTCTATTTTAATAAATATGGGATGCTTTAAAATTTAAATAACCTTTTTTAAGTGGTTAATCTCTATAATTAACTCTTAATTTAAAATATTATTTTAAAATTTCTAATCAGTTTAATTTTAGTAATATTTTTATTTCCACTTTTAGTTTAAAATGAGAATAGAATAGTATTGTGAAAATAGTGAACCTAATGCCCTCTTTAGATTACTTTATTCTGTGATCATTTTTCCATTCCATTATTAACTAGAAATTAAAAAGGTATTTAATTATTACATTTTAATTAATCCATATAATGGAAATTAAAGGTCTCTAATTTATAGTGGCATTAGTGAAGTCAATAGAAGTGAAAGTAGTTTGTATATATGTGGCATACACTAGATACTCAATAAACATACTGGTCTGAATTTCTTCTTCTCCCTTTACATTCTTGAAGTTTACTAAGCTATTATATTTGTATACATTTTTAAAAAATTTTTAATTGATTTATTTAAAAAAAAATTTTTTTTTAAAATATTTTTTAGTTGTTGATATACCTTTATTTTTTTTAATTTTATGTGGTGCTGAGGATCAAACCCAGTCTCTCACACATGGTGCTCTGCCACTGAGCCACAACCCCAACCCCTAATTTTTATTTTTTATTCTAATTAGTTATACATGATAGCAGAGCATTTCAATTCATTGTACACGAATGGAGCACAACACATGGTTATACATGATATAGAGTCGCTCCACATGTGCAGTCATACATGTACCTAGGATAATGTTGTTCATYTCATTCCACCATCTTTTCTACCCCCTGACTGTATATATTTTTATTTTGCTTAAAACTAGAAGGGAAACTCAAGTGAAAAACTTTATAGAAAAATTATACATATTAGAATTGAAAGTATTTTTAAATTTTATATAAAACATTTATCTTAAAAATAATATCGGATTTTTACCATAAAAGCACTTTTTTCTTTCCGTTAAATGTTGTTGTTGTTGCTTGGTTTTTGGTARTGGGGATTAAACTGAGGGGCATTTTACCACTGAGCCCTATCCCCAACCCTTTTTATTTTGAGACAATGACTCACTAAGTTGCAGAGACTGGCCTTGAACTAAGGATCCTCTTGTCCCAGCTCCCAGGAATCACTGAGATTACAGGTGTGCACCACCACACTCTGCTAAATACTATCTTTCAGAACAATAATTTTTGCAAAACCAGTAGTTGAATCTCCATGCCTGTATTTTTTTTTCTTTTAAATACCTTTAAGTGAATCACTCTTTCTAGTCCACCATTCTTTTATTTACAGAATTGGACCTTTAAATCCATGAGGTCCTTTCCAGATCTTTAAAGGCATATTTACCTGRCTCAGTGCTGTGTAGGAAGGAGACCTCTTTCTGGAATAATGAGTAAAGATCTACACAATAGTGTGACTAATTGTGATAGATTAAACATCTAGTTGTTGAAACTGGTCACGAAGGATTCAAAGTACTGAATGRGCTTGAAACATAATGGTTGCTGTAGATAATACTACAGGCATACTTCAGCAGCAGGGATGTTTATTTATTTATTAAATTAACAACTTTATTTACAAACCRTGAAACTCACTTAATTTAAATATACAGTTCAACTATTTTAGTTTATTTTGCAGGTATGAATTTTGGTATCCTGGGAAAGACCTTGAACCAGTCCCTCGGATATGTAGGGATGATTCCAAGTGAATAGTACAATGTGTTCTTTTGTGTCTGGCTTCTTCCACTCCATAATGGTTTGACTGCTCACCTTTGTTGTTCAGGCCTATACCAGAACTTCATGCAACAYTTAATTTTTATTGAATTTTCTAGCAGCAGGGTTATTTAAAAAGGTATCAGGTATCCAAATTATTTTATTATTTTTGTGTTCTAGAAAATAAAAGAGAGTCATATGGAAGATATTTCCAAAGACAAAGAAACAAACTGGGATTTTCTACCAAGTGGAAGAATTGAAAGTACAAGAACTGGCGAGTCTYCAATAGAAACTACAGATTTTTCTAAAGAAAAAGATGTGAATGAATTCCCACTCTGTTCACTTCCTGAGGGTGTTGACCAAGAAGTCTTCAAGCAGCTTCCAGTAGATATTCAGGAAGAAATCCTTTCTGGAAAATTTAGAGAAAAATTTCAAGGGAAAGGAAGTTTAAGTTGTCCATTACATGCCTCCAGAGGAGTATTATCTTTCTTTTCTACAAAACAAATGCAAGATAGATCCTTAAATTCTAGAGATAATTTATCCAGTAACAATCAGGTACAGTCTGTGTCTCCTTGTGAACCAGGAACATCAGGCTTAAGTAGCAGTAGTTCCTCTTACCTGTCTAGCCCAAAGGATTATTCATATTATATAGATAATCAATTAAAAGATGAACAAATGAGTCAAGGACCTAAAGAATCTGAAGGATTCCACTTCTCAAATACAAAGCCTGTTGTTTCTGCTTTCCATTCATTTCCAAATTTGCAGAGTGATCAACTTTTTTCCAAAMGCTGTGCTACAGGTAGTCATAAGCAAACAACAACAACAGCCTCTTGTCAAGGATCCACAGAAAATAGAGAGCAAGATTCTGCTGATGAGAAGATTATTTTTCCATCTGTCATTGATCCTCAAGTATTCTATGAACTTCCAGAAGAGGTACAAAAAGAACTGTTGGCTGAGTGGAGGAGACCTGGATCAGATTTCCACATTGTACATAAGTAAGCATGTTCAGAGAAAGGACTACAAAATCAAAGAAAGTATCATTGTCCTCAGATTAGCAGTTTATTAAGCTCTTCTAAATTAAACACTAATAATAATGTAGAAGTCCAGTGTAAAATGTTCAGGTAAAGCAAGAGTGGTTACAGGAAGTAAATTCCAGCACAAAACATAAAAATCCTCTTAACAGAAGCAATAATGTAAAAATATTATCTTTCTCTTATTTCCACAGCTATTTTATGTTGCTTTTCAATAAAAGGAATATCATGGTCAGCACTAGTACACTTTCCATAAATTCGGGAGAAGGCATATGTGCTTGCATATAAAATATAGGCTCATCAGATCATTGTCATGCTAGAATAAAGAACAGGGTTTTTATTTATTTTTGTCCCTGTGAAAARTGGAATGTCTAGAAATTTAACCTATTAAGAAATAGTCAAATAAGAACTCCTGCCAACTAACCTATTGAAAATGTAAATATCTTTGTTTAAAGTACTGTGTACYATTTAATAAGTTTACTTGTAAAATAGCATAGCAATATATACTCAATTAATACTTTTTCATATACTTAGAACCTACCCCAATACCCAGTACATACAGGGCATTCATTAAATTTTGAATAAATAAATTGTGTGGCCAACACCAGGGTGGGTATTGGGTGTGGGAGGAGTATGTATTTATTTTAGAGGACAGTGGTAGAAGGAACTCTCCATGCAAGTGTATTAAGGGAAAGATGGATATCAGAAATGCAAGGTAGTACCCAGATGTATGGCATACACCTGTAATTCCACTGAGGCAGGATCTCTAGATCTCGAATTCAAGTACAGCCTGGGCAATTAAGCAAGACCCTGACTTAAAAAAAAAAAAAAAAAAAAAAAAAGGCACGGTGGTGGAAAACTAGTAATGGAAGGAATCCATTTCTTTCTAGTCAGTTTGTAGGGTCTAAGAGCAATGGATTTTATTTTTTAAAATCTTTTCTGCATTGGGACATGATTGTATGGATATCTTAGCAAAAACAAATAGACCTTTACTAATTTGGTGGGGGCCCTTTTCAGCCATTATTATTGCCTCCCTTTGCTTGCCAGATTAAAAATTGCATATAAAACTGAGGACATTTTATAATCCACAAGAATAGAGAATGTTTCTAAAATATATAAGAGGAACTCTCAGCACTGAGTTGAGGAGTCCTGGCCTCAAGTTCATAATTTTTACAGATATAATCTAAATAGAAGATATTAAGGTCTGGGGTTGTGGCTCAGTGGTAGAACACTTGCCTAGCATGTGTGAGGCACTGGGTTCAATTCTCAACACTGAATTATAAATAAATAAAATAAACGTCTACCGACAACTAAAAAAAAAATTTTTAAAAGATATTAAAAGTAAAGCACAAAAATGTGAATGAGGAATACCTGAAAGATACTTTTCTCCAGATCGGAAATTTTAGGTAAGTTTCAAATTTCTTATGATTTGAAAAATTCACTAACCACTAAGAAGTTTTACCAGGTTTTTTTTTTTTTTTTTTTGATTGACTTTATTTTTTTTTAAATACACAACAGCAGAATGCATTACAGTTCTTATTTCACATRTAGAGTACAATTTTTCATATCTTTATATAGAGTTTGTTCACGCCAGTTCATGCCTTTATACATGTACTTTGTTGGGTTTTTTTGCATTACACTTCTTATTACACATATATACCACAATTTTTCATATCTGTTCATATATAAAGTATGTTGACACCCAATTTGAGTCTTCATACATGTGCTTTGGATAATGATGTCCTTGGGCCAGTTTAAAACTGAAGATGAAATAGTTGTTAAAAGTGAAGCCAGAATTAGGCAGTCAGTATAGATASGTAAATCRAATCAAGTATCAAAAGTACAATTTCTGGAGTAAAATTTTAAGGAGTTGTAATCAGTTCTGCTACTTATTTTATATCCTTAACTTAGTCTTTCAATGTCTTTGGGTCTCAAAATCAGGTTGTTAGGTTACCTTTTCTCTCTGCTTTTAAAATTACCCCCTACCCCCACCCCCATGTTATAGACTTACTRGGTTTGGAACTTTAATTTCTTTTTATTTTTGGTAAATTCTGGCTTCCTGTATTTTTCAATTCATATTCTGTAGTATTCTCAGCCACTAGCTCTTCAAATACTGATTCTCCTCTATTCTAGGACGCTGATTGCAAAAAGGATGGATTTTCTTACTCAGTCCTTCATGTTACATAATTTCTCCTATTTTTCATTTTCTTGTTCCTCTTTGCTGCATTTTGAATGATTTCATCAGTTGTCTTCCTCTTCACTAATTTGTTTTTCRGTAGCATGTCACTATTTAAAACATTAGTGATGACTTTAATTTCATTAATATTTTTCTTTTCTTTTTTAATCTTGTTTATTCATTTACAGTTTCTTGTAAGTAAATCTGTTAATGGGGACCATTTAAAATTAGAAAATTTAAAATAAGCCTCAGATTGGTTTTTATGTTTTGTTTTCCTCCGCCCATCCATTGTCTTGCTAATCTGTCTTTTATTTTCTCCATCCCAGCTTCCTATGGGCAATCATTTCATGCTGAGAATGGAAACTGAAACTGCCCAAAGCCTCCCCAAAGTCCTGGCCCTTAAAGGACGCATCCTGTCTGCTAGCAGAGCCTGGATGAATCTACATAAATCTTTTTCTTGGCTTTTGTTCTCCATACATGGTCCCTCCTTTAAAATGTGATGTTTTTGTGGGKTGGAGGAACAATGAAGACAGATTAGCTGTCTTCCCAGTTTGGACTAAACTGCAATTTATTTTTTCCTTTTTGTTATTGTTTTCTTCATCTTGGTGCAGGTGGGCAACCAAATCCAGTTAGTTGGTACCCCAGATTCAGGTCTCTGAATTCAGTAACAAATTCTTTTCTGATGTTTTTAAAATCTCAAATATGTTGTGTTCCATTTCTGATTATTTGAAGGCTTTATAAGCTTGAGTATGTGGCTTAGTTTAATCTATGGAAAGTCAGAAAACCTACATGGTGGATGCTTTCTTTCAGCTAGTGATTTGCATTTGTTGCCATGTGGTAAGAACCTCTGCCCCTTGGCACCGCTTCCGCCCCCTTCAGGGGTCCTGTCAGAATGCTGCTGTCTCAGTGTCAGCTCCCTAGACTTAGCTACTGTTCTCTAGAAGTTAAGGCCAGGCTGCCATCAGCATTTATCTTCAGGGCAAATTCTACCTTTGAAACCTCCTCCTTGCCTGGTGCTTGGTGCTTCCTGCTCCTTTCCTGCTTTTGTTTCAGCTCCATTTTTGTTTTGTTTTGTCTTCCTGAGTTGACTCAAGAGGGGTTAGGCCTGGATTTCCTATATAAGACAAACAAGCAATGAGTTTAAAAGTCTGTTTTSCCCAGAATATAGTGTTTTGTATTGAGATCTCTTAGTGTCTGTTCCACCAGAGTGACAAAGTTTGGATTTACTTTTGCTGTCTTATTTCATGCTTTTTCTTTTTAAAAATTTGTTCTAATTACACATAAGAGTAGAATGTATTTCGATTCATTTTACACAGATGGAGCACACCTTTTTATTTCTCTGGTTGTATGTGATGTAGAGTCACACCATTCATGCAGTCATGCCTGTGCCTAGGGTAATGATGTTCATCTCATTCCACCAGCTTTCCTACCTCCATGCCCTCTCCCCTCCCCACACTCCCTATCCAGAGTTCCTCCATTCTACTCATGCCCTATGATGGATCCACGCAATCTTTGTCTGTGCTATGCTTTTCCTACCTCTTGTCTTCATTTTTGATTGGTTGAGTTTTCCATTTACTATATATTTTCTATTTATTTGAAATGTGAACATTCTATTACAAGTCCTTTTTGATTACCCTTAAAAATATACCTTGCTTGAACATAAAACAAATCGTAAGTTTCTATGGTGATYTCAAACAATATAAAGATGTTGAAGTTCTTTAATCAAATTCCTCTAGTTCTTTAATCTCCAGATTAGAATATTGTTAGTGTTTTATATAATCAATGTTTGCTCAAATATTTATCTTGAGAGGGCTTATCTTTTTTTTGGTGACATCTCAGACATTCTAAGTACAGTTCTTTTCACTTTCTAAAATAGTCTTTATAACCATGAATTTAGAACTGATCTAACATATTCTCTTTTATCTTTGGAGCTCTGTGTATGTATGTGTATGTGTATATATTTATATGTCTTGGTTTAGATTTTTTTTTAATCATGATTAGAATTTAGGTCTTTCTTGGTCTTTCATCAGATGTAGATTTTTTTAGTGTTAAAAAGCTTATAAAATCTATATAATGAAAAGTGCATAAACATAAATGGATGTGTTAATAAGTTAAGCAACAACTATGTAACTACCCAAGCCAAGACATAAAACATCAAGTGCCAGGTTTTGTTCATGACTAAAACACTCAGAAGTCACTCCAGGTGAGCTGGGCTAACTGGGCTGAGCGAAATAACCATACAAGAGAGAAATACCTTTTTCTTTTTGGTTGCTGTGATGATTCCTCTGACCTTAAGGGTCCATGGGAAGAGAAAAAAGGGAACCCTCAGGTGCTGATTCCTTTTATTGAGCAGAAGCTCTTCAAATGAGGCAAGGGGTCAGGTTTCAGGGGGCTGAGTCTAAGCTTCACATGTCCACTCTCAGCAGGTTGACTGACATCTAGGTAGGCCACACCCAAGGGCACAGATAAGGGGACACACAAAAGGTGTTTYCATGGAACATTCTATCCCAAACAGGGCAAGGGGTATAGTACAAAGAAACAGGCAAGCATAGCTCCACCCATGGGCGCTATTACCCCTTGTAGGAAGACATGCCTGGCAGGAAGACACCATCCCTCAAACCCAAGAAGAGTGGGGCATCTAGTGGCATGGCTGCTGCCCGAGGCCTCAGTCACCCAGCTGGGGAGTGACTCAGTCTTGTGCAAGGTTGGCCTCCTACAATCAAGTAGTAAGAAAGTCCAGCATTTTTTGAACTTTTCAATTAGAAGCAGTGTAGAATGGAGGTGAATAACYGGTACACAGAATCTATCAAACATGTGTTTGCATATATTTATAGTATGTGTGTATATATATAACGAAATTACTGCATTTAAAAAGTATTTTTTAGTTGTAGGTGGACACAATACCTTTATTTTTATGTGGTGCTGAGGTTCAAACCTATGGCCTTGCATGTGCTAGGTGAGTGGTCTAGCATTGAGCACAACCCCAATGTGAAATTACTGCATTTTTAAAAGTGGTTGTTTCATAATACTAATTTTTGTTTGAAATCACAAATTCGTAA